GTGATCCCATACTCTTACACGAATACTTCTATGCCCCACTCATTACGAAAGCAAAGAACTCTCCCGTTACAAATCCGTATAAAAGTAAAAACCAACAACTGTTTCGTGACAGATTCTCAGTTTTTTAAGACACCTAATCCATTTCCCACATTTAATTCCCAAAACGTGCATAGCTTGGCAAGCAGCTGAAGTTTCCAAATTCTCACCAAACGGAGAAACATTTTAAATATTTAGTTTAACAAAACCCCCAGCATGAATGTTAATGAACAGTACCTACTCGACCGCAGCCAGAAATATCGGGCAATATCCTTTGTAAAATCCACTGCAAAACTAGGTCTACACGGGTCACTTAGTAGATTTTCCTACTTTAAAACTATGTTGTCATTCGCTAGTTTATACTATGTTTATACTGCAAGTAAGTAAGCAACATATTTATGTTGTAGATATTGCAACAACATTACTCTATAATTATGATAACAGTAACTAGTTTCGGTTTATAACATCGATAAAACCCTGCTCTTAATATAAATGCACGTCTCCTCACACGCTACAACTGTTCGTTTCAAAAGATTTTCAACAGAACGGATCCTTTATAACCCCTGCAGAGTTTAAAGTTTACTCAGGGAGCAGTGTCAAATATTGACTGTTTGCTTCACTGTAAATATTCTATGATGATACGTACAAAAGTTCATTCCAAAAGCCGTAAAAGTAATCCTCGATAAACCCCATCGACAATAACACACGGCTGAACAAACAAATTGTTGTTTTCCCTACGAACCGTTTCTAATAGCACCCGGAAATTATTTTTCATACGTCTCCAATCTCCAGCGAACCGTCACAACCTTTCCACTGATTTAATTGTGCGCGCGTTGACTTCAATAGACTCAAGGCGAAATCAATATTGGATTTAAATGACAGATATTATTGTAATCACATCTAAACGTAACGTCACGTACGCGAAATGTCTACACAAATTAATAGATGGCCTGAAATGGCCGCCAGTTAAGTGCGTTAATTTCAGCTCTTTTCATACGTGCGGCCTTGTAATGGCTTCATAATTTTGTGTCATTACGGATGCTTTTCAGAATGACATTTCATTTTGTATTTTTAAATGGCACCCATTCATGACGAATGCGCTTGTTAACGTGGATTTTATTTTAACTTTCATATTCTAAAAGATCTGACCTCTGGCATGAATGGCCCTCCAATTAAGCGGTACTATTAAAACTGCACTGATTTTGTTAAATGTATAAAAAAGATTTCATTTTCAAAACCTCAAACAATTCCAGTTTTAATGACCTGCCATAAAACAATGGATATCGTAAGCGATATACAGTACTGTCAAGGGTTTTAAAGAACATTTTCAGATTACAGACATGCAAAGTGATTAACCCGAAAACACCACTAATATACAAAACGGCCGCTTCCGATACCCAGGGTGGTGACGACAATGTTTGCGAGTGGAGACAGATAATTTGAGTTAATTTACTATGTAGCGATAACCGCACACCGACTATCTTGCTACATGATACATTGAGGACTAGATATAGCACCAAAGAGAAGTAACCAAATGGAGTGGCAAATACACCGCGACGACAGACGCCTCGTAGAAATTTGCCATATGACCCGAAGGCGGCGTCTACAATGCCTTACTCGTACTCCAAGTATTTAGGAAGTAAATTCAATCAAAGGAGAAATGTGCATATGCCGACTTCATTGATTAATCACCCTCCAACCACAATCCGCTCAAACAGCCAGCTATTTGAAACAGCAATTGTGGTACCACTTTAATATTGGCATAACTATTAATGGAATGTGTTCCGCGTAACTGCAGCCGCTGTTGTGTCTGATTAGATGACAGCTATAACAGTTGCTAACTAAGCTAATAATTATACGTTTCGAAACATATAATATGCTCGAATAACCGGCTAATGAAAGTTCTCTGGAATTATTTTGTTACTCCAAATTGCTCACAATGCGCGCTGAGTTATGGGACACTTTTATTTTTCGACGATACAGTAATAATAGGGTATCTCCGATCTCTTTTGTGTAAACACAATGCTGCCGAACCTGTTTAAATGATACTGTCACAACGAATCAAACATTCTAGAGCAGCTACTGGCTGGTATAAATAAACACCCACGCCGGATTATGATATTATGAAGTACACAGCGTGTAACAATCAGGTCGGCAGTACAGGATGGCCTTCAATCATAAAAGCCCCAGATCTTATCTGACGTTAATCCCTTATTAAGTAAAAATATATCTTACTTGAACCACCGGTTAATAGAGGCCCTCCATTTATGGGAGCGTGTTTACCCAAACCGTAATGTGTACCGCATTAGTGGGAAACATTAGAGCACAATGAGCCTTAATCTCTGAACGGTAACAACTTGTCAAATAAGGGAAGAGTGCGACCTCCCGCCGCACGACACTACCTGGGAGGTCCACCGGTGCTGTCGACGACAACCAAATTAATAGCTTACAAGTAATCAGAGATAGCAGAGCCACCTATCACCGCGTGAGAACATTCTTAATGACTTGGAAACGCATCATGTTTAAGATACCCTGTCTTATTATTTTAGATTCGTTTGTCACCGTGCGCCATACGTCGAAACATTGTAAGCATAAAATCAATTACGAAACGATGACTTCTCGACTTTGAATGCGACATATTTCTTTCGATGTCAGAAAGCGACGAGTCTAATGAATAAAATATTCGACGTAGTCGAGTATTTGAATAGATCGTTACGTGGCCCCTAACCTAATCCATGACCAACACATTATCCATCTTGCGTGTAAATTTAAATGACCCTTTGTGACTCCTGTCAAAACACTTCTTACAATAACATGACGCACCCTGCGCTCGCGCTCTAATCAAATTTAGAAAACATGTAAACATTAACCATACTTTATACTACACTTTACATAAATCTTTTCAAACGTCCAGAGATTTAAATTGAAAATGATTGTCCAGTAATGAGATGTAATATTTAATACGAAATCTAAAGAAAAATGGGCTATTTGCCCAGGTAAATAATGGTTAGGTGTCTACTTAGTGTCTTTTACTACCCTTCAGTAAATTAAGTACGCCGTATAGATATTATTTTTGGGTCCAATAAAAATTCTGTTCGGGCGATAACGCCCGCCCAAGTGCGGTCGATATGGGGAGGGTATGAGAAATAAGATTATTTTCCTTGCAAATTGATCAAACGAAATTTATTTTACGCTCCCCTTCAGATAAGACAAACATTCTCAACGAATATAAAGATACTTTTATGACTAAAGCGAAGAAAAACAAAAATATTAAATAAACTGCCAACACATAATTACACCGCGACGTGAAGTGGGGCGCGGCAGGAACAAATGGCTTATTTGACAAGATCCAGATAGCTTTTAAAAAAATTGTTCTGAATTACCACAATAAATTATAATGAAATATATCTGCGTTGCGGAGCGAATCAGTGGGTGTCAACTCCAACGTTTATTACAATTATACTGTGTCTTGGATATTTCCATTTCCATAACAATAAAACGGGTAGCTATTGAATGTATAATGACGCGTGCCTAGTGTTGAGTGGACCACCATGACTACCACGGTAAATATATTAAGCGAACATACCACGTGATGGGCAGTTAATTTACGGCTTGCTAACCGGCATAGCAATGAGGAACCATCAGATTGGGACGCGACGACATTGGCGTAACCTCGCAATGTAACGATTGTTTCATAAACGCAATTCGTAGTCAGGTGTCGACAACATTACCATATAATTTGATATAACAACTTAAACAATAGCTGAAGACTATGAAATACACTAAAAGTCCTGGAGGTATGGAAACTTAATCGCTTGTTGGTGATCAGTCACAGCGTTGTATTCCCGGCACGTGAACTATGCACGTTTCGCTCGTAGTTCAACACGTAGCGCCGTTCGAGAGCGAAGCATTACACGTCTTAAAAACGTCGTCTATTTAGTTCTACTAGCACCTGATCAACTTAGTTCTGACTGTTTTTCACAAACAATTTAACAATAAATAACCTAACATTTTAACTAAAAATTTTAGTAATCCAAACAATTACGTAGATTAGATTTTACTTAGTTAACAACACCTAAGTAATATTGACGCTCCGTCAAAAATGTCAGGCATCATAGTTGGCAAAATACCGAATAAATAATACTACGACAAAATTGTAATATAAAAAGAATTTCACGAGAAACAATTTTATTAACTAGGTACCATCTTGTTTCATTCTATGAGTCTTGGTAGATTTCACAAATAAAGTCGTTTCCATGATAATGCTCCATCGAGGCGGACCCGACAAATAGATTGTATCCATTATCCCATACCATTTATTTCTATGACTATCTCCAAGCACCTAGTACGTTCGCCACAAACATTGTCTGCGTTGGATATTTAGCTACTTACATACAAGTTGGGCCTACATATAAACGTTTACGACCCCTGTAAACTGTGAGCGGTAATCAAATCGAAATTCGTTTTCAATCAGCGATGCTAACCACGTCCGACCACTCGTATAATCCCCAAGGGCGGCAGACAATAGTCGGGAGAGGTGATTTGCATGGTCCACTGTACCAAGTATCTATTATTTATGAACATTCGGCACATTTGCATGCCCAAAACAGGAAAGGCCAGCGATGGGCCCAAGGACACGTCGTCGCCGGCGCCGCTGATGTAATCGAATGTCCCTGTTGTTCCGCGCCGACACAATAATAATTCATATTCAAATTTCGAGCCCGAAATAATTACCACGACATGAATTTATCGCACCACAATATGACTTCAACTCTTTGTCGCCATTCGAAGCCCAACACAGAATTCTAATGAGACACGTGTTGCAGTTTACACAGCTTGGAGTCACTGAGCTATTCAACTAACAAAAAATATGTTCGTGAGCCAACAAAAACCGAATGGAATGCTTTCAATATTAAGAACTTTACCATGGCTGCGATGAAACAGTTTTTATATCAGGTACTTACTTCCAACCGGTAGAGTATCTCGAAAACAACCATATTTCGTTGCTGTGCGGTCGAAAACAATGGCACCGCTTTCGCGCTCGTTGACAGTTGCATGGCCTCTGTGAAACAAATGAAATAGTGTAAGTGTAGTATACAGAACAATGATGATAATTACAAAGCAATAATCTGAATATTTACAAAACGGAAATATGAAACCAATAATCCTCAAGTCAGCGCAATGTGTAATACCTGACTATCCATTTAAATGAAAGAATGAAACAAGAATAAATCACACATGGCAATATTCCATGCTCGAGGTACATCAATAAATTATTGCTTAAGAACATTTAATACAAAAGTTAAATCGTTCCCTCGCGTACAATTTAAACGAGAGGGATTTTCATTTCCTCCATTGGGTTCTTTGAAGAGGGATCGTTGTGTGCGGAAATTACCAGTGAAATCGGTATCGTTGCCGTGCCAGCGCGTGCCGAGCGGACGCACGGAGCGGACAATCGTTCCACTCTCCGACACCCGAGACGAGGCTCCACGAAAATCCGATGAAAAGCACACCCAGAAACTTGTAACTCAATCTGAACATTTTTATCAGATTCCCATATATATTACCTAAACATTTTGCGCAATTTGTTAAGGAAGTTTACCCAGAGTAAACCAAAGCAGTTTATCGTTATTAGGAATATTTGTTACTACGAGGGTAACAGATAATAAATGTCGAAATTGTTATCGGGGTGTGGCGGTTACGGAACGAAGAAAATATGTAAGTAAGACTAAAATATTCCAATGAAGGAGAGGAGAATTATTCCGACAAATATTAGAAACAGTTTATGTAAGGTTAAAAGAAGAAAGATAGATTCAATTAGATTCAAGAGTGTCAGTGACACGACAGAAACACTAAAATAATCTCAGAGAAATCTCAACCAATCATTACGTAACAATAAGCTATTACAATTGGCAGTGGGTGGACAAGGCCAATGACAGCAAACAATATACATCCCACATAAAATATAGGACAGAGTAAATCTGCGAGACAGCAAAATACTAAATCCCCACGTTCTGGATACTGCACAAGTAATGAAGCTGAATAGTGAATTCGTAGAGTAAATTAGAAGGACGGAAGCGAGCGGGCCGGATGTCCGTAGAGCAAGTGGCGCGAGATACACTCAAATACCAAATTACACAAATGTACAAGAGCAAATATACGACGTTACACAGCCAGCGGGGACTAGTGGACGGTATTTACTAACATGCATACTGGAACTACAGCAATACTTGGTCATACTACAATAATTGTACGCGTTACTAAAACAAGGTTACTTTTGCTAACAGGGAAAGCTAGATTGCAATTACTTTCAGAGGCTAACATACCAGACAACCTCGTTGAAGACAAATTTAAGTCAAAATTGTGGTAAAAATGTTCAAATCACAAAGAACCAAGTACGACGTACGACGGATACGAGGTCTTGATAGTATATCAATTCAAGACAAAAAGTTTCTAAAATAAATTTGATTCTCAATCAAGGCCCTGGAGAATATAAAATACGTAATAAAACGTTGCAAGAAAATATTATTACGACAAGGGAAGGAGGAAATGAGAACAGTTTCCACTGATTACGTGAAAATACGTCTTTTAAAGAGTCAGCTAGAATAACCAATAAATGTGTAGGTACCTACAGCAATTTTAATCTGCATTGAAAATTTCGAGATCCCTATAAAAAATTGGAACAAAGGGGATTGATTGAATGTCTCGGTTTCGATCCAAAAGAACACAAAAATGTCTGAAGCTGTATGAATGGGGAATGGCAACATTGTCTACGAATACGTAGCGTAGTGTTAGTCCACGAGGGACTCCGATCGTTCGTTTCAACGGGCGGATTAATCATTTTTATTTGTTTTCATGCTCTGAACACACAACGTAACTTTGGCTATTGCTGAATTCGCTCAGATTTAATCAATGTTGATATTGTCTTTGTGTTCCCGACATAAACTTTCTATTGCTCCAAATCCTGAGACATCACAGTAGGTACTTAATTCTATTTGGCATCTCTGAAATCTCAAGTTTTATTAGGTACGTTTCCGTTTGGTGGATCATACTAATTGTTTGAAGTATAATAAATTCAAGAAACTATAGAATTCTGTTGATGAAAAATGCCAAACAATAGATTCACGCTGTTTACACGCAATTTTTGTACAGCTTACTCCTGTGTTCAAAATTATTCAAAGCGGAACAAATGCTATGGAATTAACAATGGCCCGAGAGCATGTAGTGGTACATTGTAATGCGTAGAAACAAAGCAGTTAGGTTACTAGAAACACATAATACGTATGCCGCGCACATACATATAGTTAAAGTTGAGCTCGTAAGCACCGGAATACATTGATCCATTGTCGGGACCCTGTCACGAAACTATAAACGAAGCAATGAGGAACCAATCATTGAAACGTTTTTTTTTATATTTATTCAATGCATATTAATGGGAAATCATATAAAGAAACGTGAGGCAATTGAAAATATAATATTTTGCATGGCCAGACAGCCCAATTTAGAAACGTATTAATATTTCAATCGAGATTTTTATTAAAAAACAATATTCGTGTATTGTACACAATACAACATATTGGAAAAGTTTGAATGCCATATCCAATAAAACGTTTTACGTTTCAGTGTTGTTCCAAACCACATCCCAATACAGTAGGCAGAGGAGGGCCGAAACAGGCGGAGCGTTAAAATATTTACACTGCGGTTGAAAACACGCGCCCTCGTCTGAACCGCCTCGCTCCCAGCGAACATATGAACAAACTACATATCTACACGTTCACAACCACACAATGACTTTGAAAAACGTAGAAAACGAACATTCACTAACATACCCTTTCCAACATATGGACGAGCTAAAAGGATTTACCTACACAGAAAAGATCCGAACGAGTTGTTATACTACAAATAATAAGTTACTCGAAACACGACGAAAATACACTGTACATTTTCTAGATAATTTAAAAGTATATATTTCTAGACCGAAAAGACTTATAAATAGTGTTCACGCCGGTCACATAAATACATTAGCTATCCGAAGATAAAAACACAATATTCGTCGGCAAATGCAGACGGAATTTAATATTGGACGCACAATGGATGTGCCTCTACAAAATTAATACATCTTATACATTGAATATAATTCACTGGCAGTACAGCAGACCTCTTCAATTGTTCGGTTGAGGAGAGCGGGAAGCAAATGAAAGGCGGTCCATTGAAAGTGTTCAAAGTTTGCGTACGTGCCCAAGCAGCTACGTATGGAGCATCTTTTTCATTTTATCTTTGACCCTTGCCCTGATCCGTTATAATATCGCCTGTTTTTATTCAATTAACTAAATAATGATTCGATTCATTTCGGTGGTCGGTTCCAGGAAACTTAATGATATTATCGTTGTTTAGTGGCAGAACACGTAAATTAAGATAAGAGTCAGATAAATAAAATAATTCAGATTGAAGTTTTTATACGAGCTTTGAAGTGGCCCGATTCAAACGGTTGTGTAATAGGACACAAAAAACGGAACTGCCTCATTTAAAATATCAGTAACGCGTAGAACGTAGATATCTTCAACTATAAATAAATCCTGATTCTGATTCTTAACACACGCCACCGCGAATTGCTCGGTTTCCGTCATGAATAGGAATCTATCTCACATGAGCAGATATGATACACTTTATAGACGAGGGCTATCTTGGAAGTAGCTACTTGTGTCAATTTACATTCAAATCGGCTTTATTAAGGGGGAATATCAATGAGATACGACGCGAAGGATCTCGATATTGCTTTTTAATATGGACAGCCAACGGAGGATCTAAAAAATTACAGAGTACACAATTTAAAAAATAAAAATATAAATTCAATTCAAGGCGTACAACTTAATCTGTAAAGTGGAATTAAATAAAATGGAGGACGGTGTCCTTCGCTACAAAAGTTCTGGTAGTAAATGCCGCTCAGATTTCATCGAGAAAAGCTTAATTTTCATCACGTCAGACGCTGTGCCATCAATTTTCGTAACTAACATTAAGCGTCAGCGGAAAAAATATAAAATCTAATTACTCTTTTCGGATTATAGTGCGCGCACTCTGCCCAGCGGCGTCGATACTGAAAATTCATTTTTAATTAAGTCTGAAAGCTCATCCACAAAGAGGTTTAAATGTTTGAAGAGGCAGCCGCAACGCTTCTAATTACACCACCATTATCATTTACGTCTATGTGCCAACGTTTGACACACTCGCGTTTATGGACTCGAGGATTTTAGTTGTCTTGGTAACAACATGTAATTCAATTTGTAACATTTGTAAGTAGGCGCCGCTGGTACAAAGTGTCGGGAAGTCAGGTCGGGAAAGTGACGGTGCATTTTCTTTTAACGTCTTCGCCATTTCCAGCAATTCTGCCGTGTCACCGTACCTCGTGCGCGCTTTAATAGCCCACTCCAAATGTAACGCCGTCGTTCCATATGTCTGTCACGTACTGCAGAGATTTTTCATTCTAATTTTATTATTCAGAATTTCCTGAAGTTGACTACCTACGACTTAAGATTGACTGCACATTGTGACTATAATCGTAGGATATGACACGTCAACCTGCGTTTTGTTACAACCGAAAGCTGCAACCTAACCTAACCAAAAGCTGTCGTCAGACTGTCACGTTGCAATCGCCATTTCAACTTGACTGCGTAGGTGAGCCGACTTAAATGTTTTCCATTGCAATTAAGTACATCTAACCAAACCGAACCCTAAATCGCCCACGATCATCATTCCAGCTCACCCACAAAGTTGCATGTTTGCTGTCTAGACACCTACAAGCTAAACGGGAGAAACAGGTGGACTAATGTAGGTTGATATTTTATTGGCAAAATTACTTATACGAACCTTTAAATCTAAATCCATGACGAGATGTTTTCCAAAAGAGGTTCCACCAGTTTTCTGTATGTGCAAGAAGACCATGACGTCGTGGGCGTTCAGGTCGAATCGGAAGTCATCGTGGAGGACTTCGTCATAGGAGAGACCCGGCTGAGCGATGACGTCAGGGAGCGGCCTGCCAGGAGCTTCAGCGTACGAGAGAGCCAACGACTCGGACACCCGTTCCCGCGGTGACAGTGCGCACACCTGATGACAAAACACATTTATAGTAAGCTTTTATCGACATCACATTATCGAATCTATACTTATATTATTAAGAGATAATTTCTAAGTTTGTATGTAGGTAGTAATCTTTGGAACCGCTGGTCGGATTTACAAAATTCTTTCACTATAGATAGCTACAATGTTTCAGAGTGTTATAGGCTATAAAACATCACCCTAAGACCAATTGGAGTCATAGGAGCTGAAACCGCGTGGCAGATGTTAGTATAATAATAAAAACGCTATATTCTGGTAACTTGTTCCCGTTAGTAGGCGTGTATAACGCGTGTTACGCTTGTCAGCTTTTAACAATACCGTAAAACGAAAATGTTTGTTCTTGATATTATTCGGCTGAAACTTACATATTACCACAACTAGCTGAGGAGAGGCTGAATGTGCATCATCACAGGTCTGTTAAAATGGTGCGCGTACAAAGAGGAGTAACTGTCATATCTATACTAATATTATAAAGTTGTAGAGTTTGTTTGTTTAAACGCGATAATCTCCAGAACAACTGGTTCGAATTGAACAATTCTTTTTGTGTTTCTTAGTCCATTTATCGAGATAAAACATAACGCTACGTTATGTTGGAGCCGCTAGCAACGGTTGAAACCGCGGGACAGTAGCTAGTATGATTAATATATTGCTGCAATCATTTTTTAAAAGACGACAATGTAATTTGACATATATTTAAAATTAGAACTTGATTCGATTTTCACATTATTTTCTAATATATTTTATGACTGTCATAGATCACTACAGCCTAATAACATAAACTATATAGGCGTGTAACAAAATAATTTACGAGGCTAGGTATAAAATTTGCATATGAATACGGATTGTATAAAGTCATAAAGATCAAATTAACATAACATAATGAAAAATGTGTAAAACTTGTTTTATTCGATGAATATTGCTTTGTGATTCATATTTGTAGCAGAGGTTGATGAGAGGGCTTTTGGGCCCTCCAAAGTTCATTTAGTCTGACCCCTACAAACGCGTATCAGAATCAAGTAGATATTGGGGGCGGGATGGGTTCATGTAACACCGCTGAAGCCTAAACACACATTGCGGAATATATGAGAAATATTACTCAAGTATTATGTGGATATTTCTCATAAATATTGGTTCAATAAGCTTCTTTTTTAACTCTATATTTTCATTCGTGTGTTTTTCGTCCGTAAAGGAAAGTTCGGTATACACGTGGCGAGGATAAAATGGATGAAATATATATATTTACCTTTTATATACGTTCAAATATTAAGTCCATTGTTTATTTTATTTAGTAGAATAAGGCATGATTCGAATAAAGAAGGTTAGTTTTAGATCGGTTCAGTAACTAGTTTTGGACACATACATAATATTAATGTATCTGCGATCTAGCGGAAATAGCAAATTGAAACGACGAACCATCTGATTTAAGTATTAAAAACCAAATTTCATGTAGGTATTGTTATTATTTCAAATAAATATTTCCCAATTTTATAACACAATTCCTAGTACATTTAAAAATCAAAAGTACAAAAGTTTTTCAATGAGGAAAAGTGAGCTGATTAGTTAAATATACATAGTAACTGTTGCCATTTGAATTATACACAGCGGAGACACGTGTACGCGAAATTCGAGTTACAATTCCTTCACAAAGAGTGCAAGTGATAGCCGGATTTGTAAGCGCCCTTTAAAAAAGAAAGTAATGAGTTGGTTCACTTCAAATTAACCTCACTTTTGTGGCGAGAGAAATCTGAATATCAAAGGAGGTCATCCATTAAACGCGAAGAAAAAGCAGTGTAAATTACCATCCTGAAGTGTCATTGTGAAAACTGGTGAATGAAAGAATTAAGTCTGTGTGGTGACACAGGATTTTCTTATTCGAATATTCAGTTTATTCTCTCTTTTCATAATAATAAGATGAACATTTCCTAAGAATTGGATACCTAGCTAATAAATAATATTACTTACATTGATGCAAGAAAAAAAACTTTATCAGACAGACAACGGAAGAGAATGAGCAAAGATTACAGTCTCCCATTATAGATAAGGCCTCGATAAATGTTGCCATAACAAAAAATTACTACTTACAAGATTCTTTTAAAACAAAACATTACAAAACACCATACAAAATTGCAGAACTATTTCTGCAATTGAAATATACAGTTTACACCATAGCATTTTACTATAAAACTTCTCAACGATAACTGAACTTGGCAACAACAGCCATTTGTATTCAATATTTTCTATTCCATTTCGTATTGTTCTCACAAAACTGGTTTATTATAAGAAGCAATTTATTAAATACGTCCAACGTACCAAAATATTCGTATATATATACAAATTGTACACTGTCTCAGCGTTGTTAAAATCGAAATACTGGTTCTACGCCGATTTAGTCACTTTATAACATGGCGTTACATGTTTTGGAGCTTTTCAATAAAAATGGTAATTTTGCTCCCATTACATTTTTATTTTCTATCGAACCAGTAACTATAGGTTTTTGTAAAATCACTTAACACAGTTAGTACTTACGCACCTAATTATTCAATTTTGACCCAAATACTCTTCAAAACAAGCTCAAGGGTATAACATTAAAAACAAACGTCTCATTGCTTCACGTAAGTACGGTTTGAAAGAACCCCTTAACCTCTTTAAAGAAATCTAATTTCTCGAATTTATTTCTCATTTCTCTGCATATTTTCATGGTTTCCGTTACAGTAAAATCTAATCTAGAAAGAAAAATGTTTTAATATCTTTTAGAGTCGCGTTAAAGGTCGATGGGGGTTAGGAGGGTGAAGGGATAAAGGGCGTCCATGCTCTCCCCGCTTGTTTGTTCGCCTAATGAAGTGGGTAGAGCGCTCCGGCCCATTAATATACAGTTACAATCAGCAGCGCCACCACCCCAACGATTCTACTCCACTTATTACGATTACTGAGATGTCGCCGAGACAGTCAACAACAAATGTCGAGTATCTGAATTTTACAATAAAGAACCAAAAACAAACATTGGTTCGTAACTATTTCAATTAAATGAAATTATTCAGGTTATACGTAAACGGTGTTACACAATTTCGCGACAAAGTATCGATTACTACAATTCACTATAACCCTCGCATCGATCAAAGGTTTTCGCTACGGATTACTCATCACTGATGCATTAGCAGCGGTTTATTATAGGTAGGGTATAACTTTACGTAACACGATCCGGCGCCAAGCGCACGGGACGCTTACTGGCGCCTTAGTTATTATAATGCAGGAATTGAGTTGTTAAATGTTACCAAGTTTATCGTCAAGTGCAGCCCCTCGGCACTTCACAGCACTTGTTTGCCTTCATTGTTTTGTTATCTTTTCTTAGTTGTCACACAGCGGTGTCGTCTACATCGCAACAACTTTACACGGCCAACTTGCTCCGTAAAGTAATAAAAGTCACATGAAGGCGTATTGTGTATGTAACCGCTACGCGTTCCGACACCGTAATTGTGCTTATTAAAACGAGAACTTTGCCTAATCAAATCTCGAATTACATTAGTGTTGACGTTACCATATTAACAAAAACCACAACGTGCCCCTAATGTTCACCTCAATTTCTCAATTCACTCCAACTTTGCTCTACATGGACGATGGGTGAAATGCTTATCTTAATTTCAGTTATTTCTTGCTGGAGTTACATTTCTCTGTAAGCAAGACCTAGTTCCGATATAGGTCAAGTACGGTATATCATCATGTTGTAACAAGGCTTCAGTTATAATAACCAACAAAATTAATGCGGCGATCGCGTGTGAACACAATTTAGTGCAGAAAAAAAAATGTTTAAGTTCAAAATTATCGGATTAAGCATTATGAATCGAGTAAGCTTCCAACGGCTAATTGATAGAATGGAAAAACGGCCAGTATTCATTTGTACAAAGAATTATATCTTTACTAAGTCTAACTAAGTCCCTAAGACACATAACATATCATCAAAGTAGTCCTTGGCCAATTCTGAGATAATCCTCATTTACTGCTCATTCTGGCGCCATCTAATTAGAGTTAATTGAGCTTATGTGCAATGCTAAACACTTACAGCATAACTAGAAATCCAAACTATGAGGTACTTACAACTAATTAACGTTGGTTTGAGTAGGTACAGCAGTATAGGTAAGCCACTTGAAGAGTTCATTCATGAATGAAATACTTATAATGTAATTGTAATCTTTAGTTACCATTTTATTCAGTTTATAGTAACTACTAGATATATGATATACTAGTTGTTTATTAGATATCGAAACTCCTTGAAAATCCTACACGCTTAGCCCTGATTTTTATGCATAGTCTTTGAAAGGTCGGGCAAGATTTACATAAACAAAGTCTTTATATCTGTATGTAGATGTAAGTGATGTAGGTGTATCTGTCCAGGTGTTATCCTGTCCATTATCAATTCACGGCGCGGTTCGTTGCGACTGCCGACAACTGGCACCACCATATGAGGCTGTGGAGACAGTACGAAACGCAGCTCGCGTGCGAAGAGATGCAATTTTATCCTTTGTTTCGACTTTTGCAATTCGAATTTTAAACGCATGACCATAGAGGGAACTGGAAAGAGGTATTTCAAGGCCCAAAGGCTACTGTCCTATGCTTGGCGCTGGGGTATCAACATTGCAACATTGCAGAACTCTAAAGCTCCATAATTAAATGGATGAGCAGTTGATAAACGATTGCTAAGGCACATAGATAGGAGTGTGACTTTCAAGTCGCAATCGTTTGATTTTGCTTAAACGAATTTAAAATAAAAAAGGTATGTAAACAAATTGCTATAAATTTTTAGGTTGATACAGAAACTGATCTTCAGCCGAATTTGCCAAAAATCATTTAAACGTAATAAATGAACCCGATCGATTTATAAGTATTTAATGAATAGATAAAACGTCTGGAATTTAAAAATATGCAATATAAGCGAGGTCAAGCGCCGACGGCGCGTCCGTGACTTCTCCATACTAAGTATATCTAGCTACAGAACGACATTGCAATCCGTTTGCAGTTATTTAAATTACAAACTGTTTTCCGACTGCCAATACTGATCCGCCCACGAGTCTACGACACGTCTATTAAAGCTGCGCACGCGATTGTTCGCATCATGGCATCGTTGCTCATTCGCTGACGTCGGCCGATACAAAACAAAAGTTCATTAGCAGTCTCAGTCAATATTACAAAGATATGAAATTATATTTACACAAAAAGTGGTCAAATGCGAATCGTGTAGCGTGGCGTGTTCGAAGTCTTCGGACCAATTTTTATTAAAAACAATGATTGATCGCTACACGTTACAGCTTCATACCAACATGTAGTTTGACGTGGCTGGTGGTTGAAGTCCTGCCATTTTTTGCGGGCGGCTCGTCAGACCGGCCTGCTTGCTTCCTGGCTACCTACTGATATAAAAACTAAGCATGATGGCCGCCACGCTCTTAATTAGTACAGTGGATACGTCTAGGAGTTCTATGACTGTGTAATACCAAATTTACACAGAATCAAACTAACAAGTCACTATACTTATATGTGCAAATTACAATTTTTTTACAGATTTTGAACTTTAACGACAATTCATTGACACGTTTTTGAGGATAGTACAATTAAAACATGCCTAAGTAATTTCAATTTAAGTCATCTGAAGGTAAATAATTTCGATCTATATTACAGTCATTGTCAACATTTTCAATAAGCCACATCAATTATATAAGACCTTATGAGTTATGATGCTAGTGATTTAAACAAAGCTAGAAATATATTTTAAACATTTTCTTTGCTTGCACCAAATTTATTTGCAAGGTCGGTGCAGTGGAAGAGCAACTTTCTGCTGTGCAACTTCGATTCCCGTAAGGATCGACACTTAGAATGCCCAAAAAATGTTATATTGGGTCTGAGTGCACTGTGCATGTCAATTTATATTTGTAAACACACCCACGACACAGGAGGAGACGATGGTAAGGGGCAATGTTTTGTTATTGATAATAAAGTGTATAAGTAGAGATTAGATAATAATTATAATCACTTTATAATACCAAATCGGTATTAAGTGTTGATTAAGAAATTAAAAGTATTAAGATAACCCGATTGTCCCGTAGATGAGAAACAGATAAAGTATATTATTATTATTTTGTTTGTTCGTTTCCTTTCACGGGATCACAGAATCCCGGACCTTTGGAAGGCGTACGAGGAGCCAAAGCCAACTCGCAGAGGCCCGTTGAACAATTTTAATCTAAATGTGATGGGACATCAGCCGGCAATTATCCCTGTATGCACTATAAAAGTGCACCCAAGGACAATCCCCGGTTGATGCAGGACTATTGTAAAATGTGGTAACAATTGATAGGGTTATGGGTATGGGTTGCTATGCACTAGTGGATGAGAACTATGGAAATACTATGGCCCCTGCCCCTGACCAATATTGATACATACGGATAAACAGGCAGGGGGTGACTGGCAAACTCAATTAATGGGCCCCCGGAAACGGCCGCTAGCATGTAGCGACACGGAGGCAACATACGTTGAGCTGCTTGGGGAAGGAGAGGCATCCCACGGCTATCAGAGCAATATCCCGGAAGTACGGTCAAGACCCCTACCAGCATCTTACTGAGATACATCCTTCCCCCGAGTGTCCTTCAACTCCTACTCTTGCGAATCTCCACTCAAGCCAGCCAATTAAGGCAAGAATGAGGTAGGAGGGCTTGTTCTTCATCAGTGTTCACTCCAGCTCGTCACGAGGACTAACTGGAGAGAGAAGAACAAGACACCTCCCGGGAGTCAGGTCCGTGGGGTCGCCACTGCCCAACAGCTCGCCACAAGCTGCCTTGCGGATTTATTATTATTTTATTGTATAGGTCGGCAAACGAGCAGACGGATTACCTGATGGTAAGTTTATACATCATTGATGGTAAGTAATCAGCGCCGCCCATGGACACCCGTAACGGAGGAGTAACGAGTGCGTTGCCGACCTTTTAGGGATTAGGGTTTTGGAGATTTAGGGATTGGGAGGGATCGGGGGAGGGAAGGATTGGGTCTCCGGTAACCTCACTCACACTTCGAAACACAACGCTGTGGTTGTTTCACATCGGTATTCTGTGAGGCCGTGGTATCACTCCGGTCGAGCCTACCCATTCGTGCCGAAGCATGGCTCTCCCACACTTAAATGAGATGATGAGAAATGGATAAAGTATATTAACTAGCTGTGTATCTACCCACCGTTTCACCCTCATAGTTAATAGCCTATGTTCATTGTGGATAGTGTAGTTCCAGACAGCATAAGAATGTTTCAAATGGTCAATAGTTTAGGACCCTCTTTAATTCAAACAAACAAAGAACAAATCTTTCCTCTTTATATTACTATAGGTATTGATAAAGATTGGTATAATATGATATTTAGGTACTTGTAGATAGATTAAAACATAGATATAGAAAATAATTATATATTTATTTTTTGTGTATCTGTATTCTAGCATAATAATAGAAGTCTAAATGTGAGTTCTAAGTAAAAAAAAGAAGAGCAATTGCTTAAAACAAATATAAATTTATCTGAAAATTATGCATTTTTTATGCCTATACATATGTATAAGTAACTACATCCAACACTGGGATAACTGTTAAAACTGTTAAAACTGGGATTTAATTCATTCTGCATGGATTATTATTAAAATATCTTATCAAAATCTGGTCAGCAGTTTAAAAGTCATGCACATATGTGGCCTTTTCTCAGCAGTGGGAAGTTATAGGCTGATGATGATAAGAATGATTGTTCAGGTTTATAGCTGTGAAGATTTAATGAAACACCATTTAGAGTATTTAGTTTTGCACTTTGTAACAAGTAACAATAATATAAAGCTTCAATAATTTATTCTATGTACTTATTTAAATAATTAAAAAACTATAATAATTGTTAGATAGGTTCAAACTAGTCACAATCATAATAGATTTAAAACACTATATAGTATAAAACAAAGTTGCTCTCTGTCCCTATATCGCTATGTACACTTAAATCTTCAAAACTATAAAACAGTTCTTGATGCGATTTTTTTAATAGATAGAATAGTTAAAGATTTTATGTGTACACATTCATTAAATAGTGAAGAAATTTTGATCAGCCTGGAATGTGAAGCCGGGTGTGTGCCTTCATATATAAAAAATCTTTTAAATTTGATTTTATTCAGTGTGCATTTTTATTCAACTTACATCTCAAAAGATATGATAGCTTACATTTCAATTTATAGTGACAATATTATTTTGTCAAAAACCATAGCCACAGCAACGCATGGCTGGGTCTGCTAGTATATAATAAAACTATATCAAGTTATAATTTACTGAAGTGAATTAGACATTGTACTCATTTTAAAACATTTACATAGGTGCTCATTATTATTTAACAGTTTCCATATACAGATTACTAATTAATGGTCAGAGTATTCAATTATAATCATTTTATTTTATTCCTGTTTTATCGTTTATATTATAACAATATGTGTTATTATACATATGTATGATTTGGTATTTGGGGTATTATTATTTAGATGTTAATTACTGATGTAGGCTTTATTTAACTTAATAATTCACCACTTCTGGTTAAGTTTAGGGTAATCTAACTAATTGGTCACTTGGCAGACCTATTTTTATCTGCCCTACTCAATATCTTTGGAGTAAGATCTACTTTCGATATTGGCTAGCTAGGTGGAGTATTTAACAAAAAAGAAAGTATTACAGAATTTAGAAATACACTGTTATTTTTAAGTATGTTGATAGTTAACATAACAAAATGTATTAAGTTAAGTAAATAAATGCTTAGTAAATAATGATGAATGTTTTTAAAATAAAAAAATATGATCATTCCACTGATTTTATTTTGTACAAGCTCCTACTTCTCATTAACTGTAACTTTTTTATATCCTAGGACTCTAAAGGTATTGAAATATTGAAATAGCAATTAAATGAATAATAAAATTTTCTTAGTTGCTGTTGTCTTTCTACATTAACCGCTGATGTAGACAATCTTTAAACATGTACAAAATTTTAAGAAAAAATATGAATTCACATAAGTATTAGAAAAACATTTATTATTAAATATCACTATGAATATTGTTTAATAAATAATAATGTTTTATAAACTCATTCAAGAAGTAAACACAAAACATTTTTGAATACATTTGATGTAGTTTTTTTAACATGAAGGTTTTATAGCTTTCTATGCAAGTAATCTATTATCTCACCTGATCGGGACAGAAGTATCCAAATGCCACCATACCAAACAGTGATAGTAGTAAACAGAATAGTATCACTTTGCGTAACTTCGATCTTGGCTCCATTTTTTTAATTTCGTAGACACCGCTCGGCAGTAACAAAGCGAAATCACTATCTACTTGCACTGATACACTTTTTTGCATTTCGACTGAATGCATGTCTCATTTTTACAAAAATATCCCCGACCCAACACTCACGGATTCTGTCTACTGTCTTTCTTCTAATACGAAAGTACATAAATTCATTGTAACATTGATTTCACATTGTTCTTATCATTACGTGATTATCTGACAGCGATACAGTCCGATAGCATTGTTTTGTTGATACCACTCGTAGATGTTATGCCATTAAACAAAGTCGAAAATAAAATGCGAGACGAGTGCAATACTCAAGGTGAGCTCGAGCCGACCGACTGCGACTGACACAACGCGAAGACGACTGACGGTCCCGAGACGCGACTGAAGGCAATGAACACAAACAAACAATCCCAGGGCAGAACACATTTACGAAGCATTTGCACTCCCGCACCATAATATAGTGTAGATGTATTAAGACTAAATAATTACTTAATTTAAAATAGCTGCCATCGTATTTTTATCAAAATAATCGAATTTATTTCACCGCATTCAATTTACTTGGATTAGCGTGTTCCAATCACTCACTTTATGAAAGTGACATTAACAAATCAGAGCATAAAGATGTAGGTGAAACAGCACTATACAGTCAACTTGAAGATAAAAAGAAATGCCATTTTATCATCTGGAAGGCAGTGAAATTATATGCTCTGTCTACGAAAATAATCGTCATTCAAGGTATTGGAACGCTTTTATCGTTTAGAAATTATACCTGTCATATTCGACTGTCAACTTTATTTTTATATTCCTCATAAAACTTGAAACAAGACTTACCTATTTATTGTAATTAAATGTAGGTAACTGAGCAAAGAATACTATAGTATACTGGGTTTGTAACTGAGCGACAAAATATAGAGTTCAAATGAATTAAACCCTTCAGTAAGATTTATATAAATTTCTCTTTTATTTACTTGTACTTGGTACTGAGAATAAGTTACCTTTTCCAATTTAGAATTCTTATTACTTATTCACTTTCATAGCAGGTAGGTACCTACCGAAGTAGGTAGGTACATCACCAGCGTGTAAAATTAGCTTTGATTATTTACATGTCATGTTTGATTATTGACATGTAAATAATCAAAGGAAATTAGTTTCATCTCCAGGTTCATTCGATGTCTTTCTAGTGGTCACCCAGTCACACCTTTCCTTTGTCCAATCAGTTATCAGTTAGGCACCCCATGTTCAAGTGTCATTGTGATTTGAACTATCTATCGTTAATTTTTATCTCCAGGATACCAGATCGATTTAAATCTAAAAATTATTACGAAATTCTCAATGGATATTGATAAACTTTACAAACTAGTGCGAGAGCCAAGCTTCGGCACGAATGGATGGGCTCGAACCATAGAGCAACACAGGCCACCGGCGCACCGGAGTGCTAGGTACCCACGGCCTCACAGAAAACCGGCGTGAAAACATCAGTGTTGTTTCGCCGTGCGAGTTAAGTTACCGGAGGCCTAATCCTTTATATCCGAAACCCTTATCCCTAAAAGGGCCGGCAACGCACTCATAACTCCTTTGGTGTTGCGGGTGTCCATCTGCGGCGCTGATTGCTTGCTTACCATCAGACAGCACGTCTTAAATAATTACAGCTCCATCCCTTTTTCTCGCCCGGAAGATTCACGCTTTAATACTTCATGGTAGACTCTCTGTACATCACAAGGCACGATTTCAATAAATGCAAATCCACAGTCATCTAACCGGGATTTGAACCCGCGACTCAAAGATCAATCAACCATAGGCTAAGCCTGCTAGCCAATACTAGCGGGCAATTAAGTTGGATTTGTCAGATTTATAACCAAATCTAGTGCCATAACTTGTTGTAGGTCCATACTGAAATGCAAAAGGTTGGGAAAGTGCAAGCTTGATGTTATTACTAAGGTACATAGAGAGCTTTCACCAATATTTATATATAATAATTTCAGTATTCTTTTTAATTTTACTCTCTCTACGATAGTCGCTATAGGTATAGGGAAGTTGAATCAAATCTGTCGACTAAATAATAAAGAGATTCGGCTTCATTCATTATAATGAATAAAATGGAATAAAAATATCGTATGCTGGTCTCTTGGTATAACGTCAACAACATTTTCATATACAAATAACTCCTCTGCTATTTAACATAACTAATAACATCTACATTTATTTCTAATAGACACACAAACGATAATTTTATGAATGGCTGGATAAAATAATAATTAACAAATTCAATGACAGGCTTTAATCCAGTATCACTTCTAAGTAAGAGAATTTCATATAGATGGTACATAATTTTTAAAATCAATTCTTCATGTTATTAGAGAAATCAGTTTCTTACTAAAACAGAATACAAACTAAAAAAATATGTAAAACAAAGGACATATCTATAATGCATTAGCAAAATTAACTAGAAATTAGTTTCTGGTATTAATAGAATACCATTGTGGCACTACTCCTAGACTTCTACACAAATCAAGAACAGATTCAAAATATTTCATTTATTGTAAAACAAAAAGGCACTTTAAAATTAAGGTGGGGGGCAAATGATACATGAATAAAATATAATCAAGGTCAGAACAAGTTATAATGGAAATTTCTTTTTGTTTTGTCATCAACTTCTCTCGTCACACTGTAGTTTCACTTAAAAGTAGAAAATATTTTAAGTTCTTTTTTATAATATATATGTACACATGTTAAACAATTCAACAAGGAACAGTCCACACATACCTACAACTTAGAAATAATTATGTGATCAAAATCTTCTCAAGCTAGGTCACAGAAAACTTTAAAATAAAGATGTCATTGTAATCCATATTGCAATATTAGTACATTTTCAGCGAATCCATAATATTGCCATATCGAAATTAATTAAAACATGCAATAAGCAGCACATGGAGTAAGACCAAACTCAATGCCACGAGAGAACTCATACATAACTGTCCATTATATTGATATAAAAAAATTTATACAAAAGGTCCACACCTTATTTGATTACAATTTCTGCAATATAAAAGTTATAATTCACCACTGATATTATCAGCTTTCATTATTATATTTAATGAATTTCATAGACACTTTGATACCAAGTTATTGTAACACTCAGTCAGCGCACAATGTGTAGATATTTGTATCAACGTTTGTAACTTCACCAGTCCCTAACAATAGGATCAACTCCTCTCACCACAGAATTTTCTAGTTATAAAAATTACTATATTTTATCGATTCAGTCCACGAATTTGAAATAAAGTCCACAATTCCACTCATCGTCACCTAGTGCGTAACTAGTGCATGACGACTGTTGGTATTAATGTTCTGTTCACTAGGCGTTTGTTTATTAAAACGTTCTTCCAGTACGAATATTATTTAGCACATTTTAATTTGTTGAAAGTTTTTTTAGCGATGCACTGTTTAAAACAATCAATAATATCTATGTTACATTTAAAATTGTTCAAGTTGGAACGCAACAACCGCCGGTCACGTCATTATAGGACATAATTTCTGTCTATGTATGTCCACTATACATACGTCTATGTAATGCGGTACCAATTAGTCGACTACTAGTTGTCTATGGGGAGAAGCCAGTCCTCAAGTTGTTTTCACAAAACAATCACTTCAATCAATTGCGGGGGCGCCCGCGGCCGCGTGAACCGTCTCGGTCCTGAAACAAATCACAGTATTATTATAGATACAGATAAGTTATTTGTTCTTCTTTATTTATGTATGGCTAGATACCAAAAGTAATGTAACTATTTTCTTGTGATCGTTTCTACAATGAAACAAATTTATAACGTTGCTCAACCTATATGTACGTAAAACTGATAACAGTTGGTGTCACACACATTCTAATTAGTTTATCTGTATTATCAATTATAAATATCTTATTGTAATACTACTCACCTTTCTGGGTCTGTTGTAATCACGGTCACGATACATATTAGACAAGGGACCATCTCGGTACATGCCCGGATCATTGCGATCGTTATGATCGTTATAGTCCCGATGTCCATCATCGTCTAAATCAAGGGCGTCGCGATGGTCGCGAGGGTCGCGAGGGTCGCGGTAATTACGCGAGTCTCGATGGTCACGTGAGTCCCTAGTATCACGGTGGTCACGATGGTCCCGGTGGTCCCGCCCGTCTCGGCCGTCTCGGCCGTCGCGAGCGTCGCGCCCGTCCCGACCATCGCGGCCATCGCGGCCATCACGACCCTCTCGGCCATCACGTCCGTCGCGCTTGTCACGGTAGTCGCGATAATTGCGACCGCCGTATCCGCGGCCGTTGTCATGCTCCTCGCGATTATTGTCCTGCGGATGATAAGCAGGTACCTTGCGGGAATCTTCTTCCTCTTGACGCTTCTCATAATGAATGAAGTCGTCAAAAATAGATGTAGAATGGCAATAGCAGTGCATAATACGTAACACTTGCAACCCTTTAGCGTGGGGCACTTCCTGCGTATCGCGAGAATTAGTCACCGGCTTATTCTCGTTATTCTCTAGTTTGATATGCCGTAGTTGCACGTTTGGAACGTCTTTAACATAGATCCACCTAACACGAAACTGTCCCTTCCACTTGTCCTGAGACCACACATTAGAATTGGAATTGTAATCAACCGCACTGGTCATGCGTGCCATTCCACAGAAATGGCCACTACCGTTCACCGAGAAGAACAGGAAAACTGCACCACCTTCCCTCTCGCGCTCACGGTATGCAGCGTCCAGGCGCTTGTTACCGTGTTCAGTACTGCACCATATCTCATATTTAATGCTTCGATGAATATCATCTTCCGAGTATGACTTGATCACAAAGAAGCGAGCCAATGGTGCACTCAGATCGAATTCCTTGGGGTTGTAATCATTCTTGACGCGGAGTTCATCCAGAACGGGGTGCGGCACAGCCGGGGCTGGAGGCGGCTGAGCTACAGGTACCGCTGGCGCGGCCAGCTGAGGGCGTGGCACGTGGGGCTGCGGCGTCGAGTGCGCCGGGTGAGTTGCGTGCGGTGGCGGAGCCCTGGGCGCGTGCGTCCATGCCGGTGGCGGCGGCGGCCCTCGCTGCTGCAGACCTGAGGGTGCAGGCGCGGCAGCCGGCGCTGGCGTAGGCATAGGCAGTGGCGCAGGCACTGGTGGCGACTGCATCGGTGGCGGAGGCGGGGCCGTCACTACAGGCGCGCTCTTGCCAGCGTCCCATGTACTGATATCCATATTGTGTTTGCCAGGAATAATTGGTGGTGGAGGCATACCAGGTCCCTTCTTTTTCACAGCTCCACCCTGCGAGGAGGGCGCAGGTTTGGCGGGTTGGCTTGCAATCGATGCCCATGTCATCTTTTTGGGTTGAGAGCCACCCGACACGTCCTTGAGTTCCGGAGGGCGGTCCTTCTCCGACTTATGCTCTCCGAGCGAGAGTGACTGAACCCCCGTCTCGACAGCTTTGATTCCGTCGGGCACATATAGCCCGTCGGCCCTGTAATAGTCATCATACTGCTGCTTGGCGCGACCGAGTTGTCCCCAGGTGGAATAGTCGCCATTTCCGTGGAAATAATTAAACGTCGACGCTGGTTGTCCG